AGATAAGACATGGCAACATTAGGAGCACAGTTATGATGACTAACAGGATCATTCCAGTGGTTCTGATCAAAGAGATCAGCCAGCCTCATAACCTCCAGCCTTTAAACAACTTTGTTAGCCAGTCGAGACCATCATCCTCTTTTGATGCACTCCATCTTTCAGCTGCTGAATACTGTTGAAAATAGATTCAGAATGATCAGACAAGTTCATACAACACATTCCTTCAAATTCATCCCAACCATGTCCTTGTGCCAAAAGCAAAATATCAATCGCAGCCCAATTCTGCAAAGTAGCATGCCTAACACTATCAGTTAAAACATCAGTTAAAAAGACCACTTAAAGCTATAGACATTTTGCTTTGGTTGCGGGACTACCCATCCTTCACCCTGATGTAGATTCCAGTACAGGTCGAACACACCGAGCAGGAACCCAGCGAGGGCCAGCATTTGTGGAGACACAAGTGTAACTCCTACCCCAGGTCAGTAATTCACTTGGTCTGCTCCACTGACCAGAAACTAAGTCATTTACATGTACTTTAACGCCCTCTTTCACATTCTGTTTCAAAAAAAGAGAAGAAAAATGTTGCAATATAGGAGGTGCAGAAGCAATGTCCCCATAATGAAGAAAATTAAGAACATAAACTGCTTTATCTAAACATGCCTGGGGTGGTTCCCCAATCATTCTCCCTTTTTGTTTTTGAAGCTGCCGCTTCAGCGTGCCATGTGCACGCTTGACAATTGCTTGTCCTGTTGGGGAATGGGGGAATCCCTGTAACATGAGTAACACCCCATAAGTTAAAAAATGTTTGAACTTTCTGTGAAACATGCTGGGCCATTATCCATTTTAATTTGGTATGGCACCCCAAGCACAGAAAAAGCTTTCTGTAAATGTCAGATTACATCCTTGCTTGTTTCTCCATTATGTGCTGTTGCTTCCAAAGCAAGTGAATAAGCATCAACAGAAACATGAACATATTTTTGTCAGCCAAACTTGGTTATATGAGTAACATCAGTTTGCCAGATCTGTAAAGCTTGAATACCTCTGGGATTAGTACCGAAATATGCTGCAGTATGAGTTCCTTGACAATCAGGACAAGCAGGAACAATAGACGGAGCTTTAGAATGAGACAAACCAAACTGCTGTTGTAGAGCTCGAAAACCTTGATGAAAAAATTGATGTGATAGAACAGCTTGTTGCTTCATGTTAGGAACAGGACTCAAAGCCATTGCAGAGACAAAAGTGTCTGCTCTGGCATTGCCTTTTGTGTAAAATCCAGGTAAAGTGGTATGACTACGGATATGCATGATAAAATAGGGTTCTATATGTGACTGAATAGTTTTTCAGAGTTCTAGTAAAACCTCAAATTAAGATTTGATTGTCTGACAAAGTTAAGACTACTTTGTCCAGTCGGGAAACTAAGCTAACCACATAAGCTGAATCAGTTACAATATTTATAGGAATAGGAAAGGTAGAAAAAAACAAGAGTCATCGCACGCAGTTCAACAATTTGTGGAGAACCTTTTTGGAAACAGCTTTGTTATTCCAGACATTATTCTTATACCACACCACTTCTGCTTTACCAGTTTTTCCTGATCTGTCTGTGAATACGGTAAGACCTTTAGCAGGTTCTGGCTGGCTCAAGTGCTTCTGACCGAATGGTATTTCTTGAGCGAATTTCAATAGCGAGTGTGATGGAAGATAAGACACTTGTCCCTGAAAGTCCGTTAAGGCCGCTTGTAACTCATACTTGTTTGCAAGGCACCACTCAAAAGTACCAGTTCTGAACAGGTAAAACAATCGTAGCTGGATCATGCCCTGTTAACTCCAAACAGCGTTTTCTAGCTTTTATGATCACATCAGCAATTAACTCAATCCAGGAGCAGTTTTCCGTGGTCTGAATGATAAAAACATCCATTCTAAAATGTGTAAGGGGTCACTCCATTCAGGATTCCACTGCACCAAAGCACCAAATGGCACAGTTTTGTCAATTAGTACAAAGAATTGTACCAATTGAGACAGATCTATTCGAGAAACAAACTTCTTGTGTATAGATTGCTCCACAATATGAATTGCACTTAATGATTCCTTATTTAATGTTCTGGGTTCTGTTGGATCATTGGAATTCCTTAACAATTCCAGCAATGGTTTCAGCTGCGAATTGGTCAGTCCGAGGTATGGTCTGATCCAATTCAAAGATCCCATTAATTTCTGTACATCATTGAGTGTCTTAACCTCGAGGTCACGTTTCAGAGGTTGGGGCATAACCTGCTTGTTCATAACTGTCGTTCCGAAATATTTCTGGAGTTCTATTTTTTGTACTTTTTCAGAAGCAATAATTAATCCATATTGTTGCAGTGAATCTCTAGTCAGATTTTCCATGTCACTCAACTGCTCCTTGATGTTTGATGCGAACAAAATGTCATCCGTATAATGATAACAATAACTGGTAGGAAATTTTTCCCGTACAGGTGACCATGCTTGCGCCACGAAGCATTGGCATATTGTTGGAGAATTTTTCATGCCCTGCGGCAACACCTTCCAGTGGTATCTTTGTGCTGATTCTGCATGATTAACAGAAGGCACAGAAAATGCCAATTTTTCTTTGTCCTGAGAAGCTAATGGTATTGTAAAGAAGCAGTCTTTCAAGTCTGTAACTATGATTTCCCAATTGTGGGGGATTATGGTAGGTGAGGGCATACCTGGTTGCAGAGCCCCCATCATGGCCATAAGAGCATTAACTTGCCACAGGTCATGTAGAAACCTCTATTTACCTGATTTCTTTTTGATTACAAATACAGGAGTGTTCCAGGGGCTCTGAGAGGGTTCAATGTGTCTGGCAACCAACTGTTCTCATACAAATTCTTGCAGGGCCTTTAACTTTTTGATTGGCAAGGGCCACTGATCTACCCACATGGGGTCAGTTGTTAACCAGATTAATTCCAGTGTGGGCCGTTTAACACCCTGCAGAACAGTGGCCCTGTTAAAAATCTGTAGTAATCTTTACCCCCATTGCGACAAGCAATCCCTCTCCCATAAATTGAGGTGGGCAGCCATCACATATGGTTTAACAGCTGCTTGTTGGCCTTCAGGATTGGTAACAAGAATTGGTGTGGTTGCAGTTCTTGCTCATGTGAACCCTCCCAGCCCTAGTACCCCCTCTTCCATGTCTTCCGTTGGCCAGGTTGGTGGCCATAGGTAATCGGCAATGATAGTCACATCAGCCCCAGTATCCAGGAGCCCAGCAAGCCTTACTGTGGTCGGCGATTGGTCACGGTTTGACAGTGTACACACCATGTGTGGTCGGGATGATGAGAGAGTCTGCGACCAGCAGATCTGAGGAGGTCCTGTAGATCCGAAGCTGCCATTTCCACGTAGGCGCTGTTCTGCTTTTGAAACACAACTCAAAAATGGGACAAGTTGAGCAATGCGAGTACCTTTTGGTATTGTTACTGGTGGAAAGGGAGTTGAAACCATTGCATAAATTTGTCCTGTAAAATCTGCATCAATAACTCTGACATGTACTATGAGTCCATTTAACGTGCTACTGGATCTTCCAATTAACAGTGCACTTAGTCCCTGCCCTATGGGCTCAATGGCCTCGAGTGGCAGTTTAACCTCTTTAGTAGTTATTGTGACTGTGTCGGTGGTGGATACATCCAGCCCTGCGGAGCCTGCTGTGGCTGCCGACAAGCGTTCACAGAGAGGGGTTGTGGTGTCAGGGTATTTGCTGTCGGAGCGCTTCTCTCACGCTCTTCCTCTGGTTTCCCGGCATTGCATGCCCATGTACATGAAACTTTGGTTTTCAAACACATAGTTTGGCCTAATGACTGGGCTTGCCACATCGACTACAAATTATGGCTGGCGGAGATCGTTTCTCGGCAGTTTTATTTGGGCAGAATGCCTTAAAATATCCCTCTTTTCCACATGAATGGCATTTCTTTGCATTTGTTATCATGGCAGTAGCTAATGCTGCCATCTTATACTCTATGGTGCGGAATTTCGAGCACACTGTTACCATCTCTGGCACCGACGGATCTCCGGGGAGAGTTTGAATTATCTTTTGACAGTCCTCATTAGCATTATCTTTTGCTAATTGTTTACACATCATTTCTCATAAAGTTTCTTCCTCTACCTGTTTTTCTAAGGCTGCAGAAATTTTCTCCATGAACTGTAAAAATGGTTCTCTAGGTCCCTGACGAATGGCAATGTATTTTTGTTTAGGGGCGGCCATTTCCATGGTTTTTTTTTCAAGGCTTCTAGTCCCACTGTCTGCGTTTGCTCAAGTATAATTTGTGGCCAAGTTGCTTGCAACTGTGGATTACTAAAAGGACCCTCTCCCATTAACACATCTTTACCTACACCTAATTTGGGGTCAGTTTGTGGCAGTTGCTGGTTAGCCATTGCAGTGGTTCTGGCCAACTGCCTCCAATTGTGAAAAAATACCTGCAATTGAACAGGCTGGAATAATACTTGTGACAGATGGGTGATATCATAAGGACATAGCAAGTCTGTGCTGATCATACGGATCAGTTGCATCACCTCTGGTGAATTTACTCCAGATTTCTGTGTTTTGTTCTGGAGATCTTTTATGACTTTCCAACTAATTGGGTTAAGGTCATCATGCTGATTAGTGCCAGGAGCAGCTTTAAAAAGAAGGAAAGCCTGTTTTTGTGGTTGGTCTGAACGACAGGGAGACAGGAGGGAAGAGCCAGGTGTGATTTGTTCTACTAGGTCCCAGTTACCACTCTCAGCTGCATATTTACGAACACCCTCCAAAAACTGCTCCAGGGACCTGGGAAGGACAGTCACAGTGGCTGGAGGGAATGTCCATGGCGTAGCTTTTTGTTCTGTCTGTTTATCAGCCAGATTCAATGCTTGCAAACTGTCAATAAGTCCTTTAGTGTTGGGTTCACTGCCCTCAGCGTCCCTGTTGGACTGCATACTGCTGGTTCCTCTAAAGGAGCTGATGGCACGATGCTTGGTATATCAGAATCCTGCGAGGGAAAAACCCCTCCAGGGTCTTCCTGTACCAGCACTGGGGGTGTTGGAGGTGGATGAAAACGTCTCCTGCTTTTTCTCTTCAGTGGTTTTCGTCCTGCCACTACAGACAGTGTGGGATCACCATAACTGAGCCCAGGACCAGATGAACTAGAGGCAGGAGCAGATTCTTACTTTCCTTCAATGTCGTATTCCTTTTTCCACTCCTTCAGCGTCTCAGTTAGCAAGCACCATGTAGTTGCTAGCTCACATGCTTCCTTTTGTTCTTTTGAAACTTCATCCCATAGCTTTTTGCCTATTCTCTGCCACACAGTCACACTAAATGCTGTAGTTACGTTAGCTTCAAGGCCTTGCATCTTACTCCATATTAACATCTTTTTCAGGCTCTTTAGTTAGTTGCTGCCCCATATTATGTCTTAAGAAGTTTTTCCCATTGGCTCACATTGCATCCAGGTGTCAAAATGTCAGGTCCGGACCAGGCAGAATCCCCTCTGCTCTCAGCTTCACCAGTCTCCGTCTCCGCTGCACTTTGCCCTGCAGCTCACATAAAATCCCCTATGTTCTACTTGTGTCACGTTGGGGTCACCAATTGTCATGGTAGAGATGGTCAAGCGACAATCAATCAAGTCAGAGGCAAAAGAAGCACTTTATTGTTCTCTACTTACTTTATATATCTTTTACAGCTACTGCAAACTCTAACACAATTGCTTAAACCCATAGCAACGGTATAGGATTGGATATTACTTCTGAACATAATTCACATAGTTTCTTGTCTGTGGTCAGCAGTTTCATATCTCTTGCAGCAAATGTTCCCTGTCCTAGCTTACTCTGTTCTTGTGTGGTATGTCTTCCTGCTGCCCATAGGCGCCTCAAGAGTACGGGGCCATCTGGCCAAGGTCGAACTCCATTGGTTCTGTCAGGCGTTCAGCAGACCCGCTGCCTACCCTGACAAAGTAGGGGTGCTTAAACCAGCAACACAGTCAGTGTCCTAGAAGTTATTTTTATGGTTAAGTGATGCGAGTTTGGTTAAGGTTTTGGTTTGGATGTTTGGGGCAGAGAGGGAGTGCGACTACTGGAACTCCAGGGAGAAACAACTGAGGAGACTTGTAGGTCAGAGTAATTGACAGGATATTGCTGATTTCCACAGAAGTAATGAAAGCACCTGATAAGAACTGATGATGGTTGACAGTAAGTTCTGGTTTTATATGCACTGAATTTAAGTAGGCAATCCCCAGAGGTGCTCATCACCTGGAGCTTTCCTGTGAGATGGAAGAGTGTTAGGGATAATGTATTGTTAGAAGGGTGGGGGAAGCAGCTTGGGATGGGAAAGAGCATACTGAAAAAGAGGAAAGAAGCAGAAGAATGGAGAGGAATGATCTAACCAACAGCACAAGAAATCACAATGGAAGGGATTAGAAAGCAAGAGAGATGGCTATTTAGGGGCTCTCACCTTCACTGAGGACTTCTTCATTGGAAGGATCACGTGTAGAGCAGACTAGGTGTCTGAGAAACCTTGGACGGAGAGGAGATGTTAGCAATCCAAGTTTTTCTTTTCCATTTTTTAGATTACTTTCCTTACTCTACTTTTTATTCCCATACCTCTTTAAGTGAGAAAATTTTGACTGAGAGTAAAGGCTTCTCTTTTAAATCTCCCTCATTTTGAAGATTTTGAAGATGTCAGCTGTAGTTTTCTTTACATGTGCATTCAAAGCAAAGAATAACAGATTGAACATAGAGATATGGTTTCTGTAGGGAGTGATTACCCATGCATTTTTATATCTAGCAGGATTTAAGTTTAAGATTTATTAGTCTTAACTAATGGGTGTTAGATAAATTGATTAAGCTCTGTCTCAGTGTTTTCTGTTTTGGGTTTAAATACTGCTCTGCCAGGTCTAATTGAAGCTGTTGAGAATGTTCTTTCAACTGGAGTTCTAATAGCACTACAGCTGTCTAACTGCTAGTGCTTATTCTGGTCTCAAATTTTATAGATCATACTCTTAGAATTTACTCTCAGTCCAGTCTCTTATTGGTGTGAACATGAGATAACTGTTAAAATGCGTATTTTTTTCTAGATTTGTGTAGTTCTATGGGAAAACTGGACTCTGCATTTTGTCATAAAGCGCATGCATTAAAACTGTGTTGGATGATTTTGTCCATGACATGATCAGTCTGTCTCAGCTCTGATCCCATAATGGTATTAAAATGAAAGCTAGTATGGAAAATGGAATTATTTCATTAACCTCATTCCTTATCTTTACTACTGAGATTTTTCAGTACTACAAAAAATTTATAGTGTTTTTTCACCTGTTAAAGATGACTGAAATGTTAAAAATGAACCTGTTGGAAAAGGTTGATTTTTGTTGTTGTTGTTGTTGCAGTGTCTTACTGCTAGATAGAATATTGCAAAGGGATATCATCTAATGTGGTTTAATAAATGTCAGTTTCTCTTAAGAATTTAGAATAAAGTAATCTGCAAGTAAGCAGGTGATTTGTTTTATTGCTATGAAAGCTTTAAATACAGACTTAATTGTTTTGTCCAGATCTTATTTTGGCTTGTTGGAGAACATCTGGAAGATTCAAAAGAGCTGATTTTAGTTTAGATTAAACTGATGTCAGGTTGGTTTTAAAGCTCACGTCCAATTGTTTCTTCTTCACTTAGAAGTGAGAATGGAGCTGTATCTAAACCCAAAAAAACCTCCATTGTTTGGCTGTCAGATCTAATAATCATTTCACATATTATTGGAAGATACTGTGAACTGAAATGGGCAACTGTGGTAAGAAAGATTTTTTTAAGATATGTGAATATAATCTACAAAATGCATTTTAGGGCACGCAGTTTAGTAGCACTTCTACCGATATGTGAATGGCACATTCCTCCAGGCAGTGTATTTCTTCAAGATGACCCTTCAAAGAATGAGAAATTGGGAACCAGGAGAAACCTACTGGTGATTTGCAGACTACATATAAACAGTGGTTTCTGCATGTTACACTTACACTGTGTTAGTTTCAATTAAGTTTAATAAAAAGCCATGAAGAATTGAGACAAAACACATCCCTCATATAGCCTCATAGCAAACTCACATCCTGTTCTTTTCCAGTCACTGTCATCTTCTACCCAGGGTTTGAAATAACAATTATGTGTCTGTTTTTTAGATTCAGAAGCTATCTGTGCATTGGTTACTTCAAGTTCAATCTGCAGAGGGGTTTTTTTAGACAGAAGAAACTAACTATTTCCAATCACTTGAATCCAGCATATTAATTTCCTTAATTTTCTTGTGAACTGCGGATTAATTATCTTGGAGCACTGTGATTTCAAATTACAAAAATCTTTATTGTCTGAACTGTTTGCCTTTTAGTTTTTTGCCTTTTAGTTTGCCTTTTAGTGGCTTGTGGTCTAGGATTGTATGTGTGTTAGAAGAGAATTGTTATCTTGTTACGTAGTAAAAATCCAGAGGGATTTTATAGCTGCGTTCCATCCATGAAATAAATCACTTATTCTAGAATAGTATTTGCAGCGTGTAAATTAGTTTACATTAGAGATTTTGGTAGCTTTAAATTATACGGTAAAAAGTGACAATCTTCTCCTTCCTCGTTGATTCTCAGGCAGGTTAGTGAGGAGATCTGATAGCAAGCCAAGGTTTAGTATTTAGAAATTGGCTCGAACCATGAGATTAAGAAGCAGCATTAGTCTTTTCCAGAGTAATGTGATAATGTCACGGAGAAATGGATCATAACTCAGTGGCAGATGGCGCGTGCCTGTGTGAAGTATAATGGAGTAAAAATACATTTTGGTTTGTTGTACATGTTTAGTCACAATCAGTAGCTGTTGTGGTTAGTTAATGAATTTAGTATCTATTCAGACAGAAAACTTCAACTTCCAGTAAGATACTTATTCATTTACTCACAGTTTACTAAAAAGTTTCAGTACTGGTCTTGAGAGTATATCCCTACTAATCAGTGCTTTTTAAAAAATGTGTGTTTGTTCCTGCTCCACTATCTAATTTCTGCTTTGAATATAGAAGTATATTATTCCTCCTGGTGTCTTCCTTTGTTAGTGTTTATAGAGAACACTGACATTTAAGAATTCATCATCATAATGTGTGTATGAAGTGAGTTAATGATACACTGTTATGACAGTGAATTGGTGTGCACAATAATTGGTGGTTGAAGCTGTAAAAAGTCTCTGACAAACCTTTTTTTCTTTAAACCCATCCAAACAAGCAATAACTGTAATATTTTTTGTATCACTCTGTTAAGAGCACAGCTGAGGTTAAATTTATTTGAAGCTTTGAACGTTTAGCAGTTTCACAAGCAAGTTCTTCGATATCTAATTGTATCTGTAATCAGACTGGTCAGTGACATCTACTAATTCCACTTGGTAAAGCAGTGAGGAACAAAATAAATGCAGAAGGAAGTAAAAGGTTTATAATAGCAATTGGTAATTGGAAAGTTATGCCTGTGCACATGTGGGGGGAAAACAGTGAGTCAAAATAGATTTAAGTGTAGCTTGACTAGCACTACTCACCTCTGCCCTGGAAGGAAGGGGAACTCAGGAATTCACATACCCTGACAAAGACTTGGCTGGTAGAGTGAGAACTATAATTACATATACAATTATAGCAACTGTTTGCTGTTGGTTTCTGCTATTTATGAAACAATTTTAATTTGAAATCTCCATTAAGCTATTAAATTGTGTTTCTGAAATATGGGAAATGTAAAAGATTAATTGAGTTCCTAATACTTATTTTCTAACCTATCTTCCAACCACAAGGTGGCTATTAGTCTAACAATTTTGTATTTTATGCATAATTTGATAAATTTAAAATATAAAGCTTCAGCTGATTAGCAGCTCAGACTGTTGCAAAATCTCTTGAAGTAGCCAGTAGCAATAAAAGACCACAGGCACAAGACAAATTCATGCATTTAGAGTGCCACATTCACAGAATCTGTAAAATTTGCAGTCTGAATTCTGTCTATACCTGGATTTCTGCTGCAGTGTGTATCCACAGCCTT